AGTAAATGAGAATTTTTGACGTTTTCAAACTGAGTAGTTTAATATGACATTATTGAAATATGGATGATGGACAGACCAGGAATCTTTGACTGTCTGTAATAGCTGAGCTTTTGCTAATGTGAGCTAAAAAAATGAGAATACTGATGTCAAGGATGATTCAATAATATCCATATTTAAGAAAACACAGCTTTAAAACCAATTGCAATATTGATAAACAAGAGGGCCATGATGGCCCTAGTTGCTCACTTGTATAAAGGCCCCCCGTAGCGGGACCAGTTTAAACCCGAGGGCTTTTATTTGAACAAACTTGGTAGACACCCATTAGAAGATGTTTCATGCTAAACATCTAAGGTCTAGCTGGTCAAGTTTTTTTTTACACATATAGTTAAAAACAATGACACACCTGGGGCAGGGCCAGTTTGGACCCCAGGGCTTTTATTTGAACAATCTTTGTAGACACTTACTAGAAAATGTTTCATGCTTAATATCTGAACTCTAGCTATTCAGATTTTTTGAAGAAGATTTTTAAGTTTTTGCTATACACATATAAGGAAAATCAATGACCCCCGGGGTGGGGCCAATTTTGACCCCAGGGCTTTTATTTGAACAAACTTTGTAGACACTTACTAGAAGATGTTCCATGCTTAATATCTAAACTCTAGCTATTTGGTTTTTTTTCAAAGATGATTTTTAAGTTTTTGCTATACACATATAAGGAAAATCAATGACCCCCGGGGCGGGGCCAATTTTGACCCCAGGGCTCTTATTTGAACAAACTTGGTAGACATCCATTAGAACATGTTTTATGCTAAATATCTTAGCTCTAGCTCTTTTGGTTCTTTATAAGAAGATTTTTTTAAGTTTTTACTATATGCATATAGGGAAAATCAATGACCCCCTGGGGCGGGGCCAATTTTGATCCCAGGGCTTTTATTTGAACAAACTTGGTAGACACTCATTAGAAGATGTTTCATGCCAAATTTCTTAGCTCTAGCTCTTTGGGTTCTTTAAAAGAAGAATTTTCAAGTTTTTACTATATGCATATAGGGAAAATCAATGACCCCCTGGGGCGGGGCCAATTTTGACCCCAGGGCTTTTATTTGAACAAACTTGGTAGACACTAACTAGAAGATGTCTCATGCCAAATATCTAAGCTCTAGCTCTTTGGGTTTTTTAGAAGAAGATATTTTAAGTTTTTTTTTCTTTTGGTTGCCATTGCAACCAGTGTTCTGCATGGAATTAAATTCTTTGAACAATTTTCAAAGGTGACCACCAAAGGAACATTCCTGTGAGGTTTGGATGAAATTGGCTTAGTGGTTTATGAGGAGATGTCATTTAAAGTAAAAGTTTTTGATCGGACGGACAACAAGCGATCACAAAAGCTCACCCTGTCACTTTCTGACAGGTGAGCTAACAAGAGCTGTCGGTAGGACAGCACGCTCGACTATTCTAAGTGCTTGATAGCAAAAGAGCCTTGATAATGTTAAATCTTTTAAGTTCACAAAAGGGCTAATTTTTTTTTATAAATTCATGTTATAAGCCTTAGAGAGAGTCTAATTATACAGTATTGGCTTGACTATTCGGAAGGAAATGTCACAAGGGTGTTTTATTGAGTATAATAATATTTAAATTACCTATGAATACATAAATTTGACAGAAAAGGTACAAAGGCTTGTTATTAAGATGTTTTATCAAGTAAATCACTGCTTTATTATCATGAATGCATAAAATTGTCCCAAAAAAGGCACAAACCCTTCAGTAGTTGTTGATATAACAGCTTACAAGCAAAACTTTACCATGAATTTCTAAGTTGAAAAAAGGGGAAAAAATCCACCTAAATGCAAGATAGAATTATGGATCTTGTCAGTGACCTACAATTATTACCCTAAATCATATGTGAAGTTTTAAATAAATTTCTTTAATAGTTATTGAGATATGTAAAACTTGCATGTAAACATTAACCAAGAGACTAAGTAGAAAAGGGGATATGAATCAGCCTTAATGCAAGATAGAGTTATGGAACTTGGTCAGTGACATACAATTATGACCTTCCAATTATGACCCTAAGTGCATGTGTAAAGTTTCAAGTAAATATCTTTGAAAACCTTTAACCAAAGTTCTAAGTTTCAAAGGGGCAAATAATTCTGCAAATATTGCAGGCAGAGTTATGCAATTTCGCAAACTGATGTACATTGTTACTATAAAAAAGTATTTTAAATTTCAATTGAATATCTCAAGCAATAATTGAGATATTTGACTTTACAAAAAAACTTTAACCAAAATTCTAAGTTCCAAAGGGGCATAATTCTGTCAATATTGTAGGCAGAGTTATCCAACTTGTCAATCTGATGTACCTTGTTAGTATCAATAAGTATTGTAAGTTTCAATTAAATATCTCCAGCAATAATTGAGATATTTGACTTTACAAAAAACTTTAACCAAAATTTCTAAGTTAAATAGGGGCATAATTCTGTCAATATTGTAGGCAGAGTTATCCAACTTGTCAATCTGATGTACCTTGTTACTATAAATAAGTATTGTAAGTTTCAATTGAATATCTCGAGTAATAATTGAGATATTTGACTTTACAAAAAACTTTAACCAACGCAGACGCCGACGCTGACGTCGACGCCGACGCGACTACAATAGCTCTCATATTCTTCGAATTGTCGAGCTAAAAAGTAAACAATGTATATTATCTATGCCCCTCGTTAAAACATGATAGAAATATCCCCAGAACCTTTTTACTCACAATAATAATACATGTAATTATAACAGCATTAATAAGTACATTGCCTTATCTAATAGTCTGAATTTTACCCAATTTAATGTTGCATGACAAACATTCAGTTACTTGATACATAATCAGTGTTCTTTTCTAATTAAAGCATATATACAGAACTTGCTAACATGAAAAACAAATTTGGTCACGATAAGTTTATCTCATGTATAAAATTGCAACTTGCTTGCAATTTAAGTAATTTTATTTTAGATTCTTATGCTAGAAAGTATGGTGATTGCTCAATTTTAAGTCATTTGTTAAAAAACATTTTCATAAATCGGAAACACACTCTATAAATGGCTTGGTACTTCATATCAATTGTGAAATTTCTTTTATTAAGAATATTACTTACTGATAAATGTTCACAAAATTGCAAATACAATGTAAATCATAAAACAATGCTACAATGCTACATAATTAAGGTATTATCAAATTATATAATGATTAAGACATTATGGATTGAAATGATAGAAAAAGAAGCAAATGTAAAATGAACATAAAAAATTATATACATGTAACACTATTGACCATAAGAAACAGTTAAGTCAAACAAATGTAATAGTTATTATGCATTTAAATTTGGGGTGTAGTGTCATGTTTCTTCGGAAATTGAAGTCAAAATAGTTCTCAGAAATCAAATATTTCTCTGACAAAGATAGAAATGTTATGAGCATGTGAAGCTCCCACAAACTTTCTTATATAACTCTAGTGCAATCACTGTTTGTTTTTACTTTGACTAGAATCAAAAATGATACCTTTGTTTACAGTTTGTGTCCACAATGATAATAGCATATACATAAATATTATCTTGTCACTTGTGCCTGGTTATATAAAAAAGACAATTTCTAATAAAGGAATGTACAAGTTGTTTTGTGTATGTTAAGAACAACTTAAGCATGTACATAAAAAGTACTGGGAACATGGTATTTTAAAGGTATTATAAGTAGATTTCAACAATAATAAATGAATGATTTCAAATTAAAAAAAAAAAAAAAATGGGTCAAAGACAGAAAAGGTCGGGTTGCATTTCTATACCAAATATCATGATGCTGTAATGTTTTGAAAAAATATTTACCACTGACCATTAATGTGGAAAATTTAAATAAGACAGTTAACAGGAAGTGGATGAATGAAAGACTTGAAATCGAATCCCACAGTATATAAGACCATGTGTCAATGCTGTTTGTCAAATATCAAGAGCCTGTGATAAGTAGTTGCTAAAAAATCTGTCACAAAAATTTCCTACCATTGACCATTAATGTTGAAAATTTAACGGTAAATGGGGCTTGGTGAGCGACAGACCTGAAATCAAATCCGACGGTATGGGACCACGTTAATACTGTATACCAAATATCAAGAGGCTGAGATAAGTTGGTATGGAAGACAAAACTATGAAACTAAGAACGTTTGTTTACATAAATTCAATGAATAAGTTCAAGGTGGGGGGGGGGGGGTAATTCTGGAAATAGTCATGCTTGTCACACAACATATGTGTAAATGATAAGAAATATAAACAAGAGGGCCATGATGGCCCAAAGTCGCTCACCTGTATATAGGCCCGGAGCAGGGCAGCCAGTTTAAACCCCAGGGCTTTTATTTGAACAATCTTGTTGACACCCATTCGAAGATGTTTCATGCTAAAACATCATCGCACTCTAAGGTCTAGCTAGTTGGGTTTTTTAAAAGAAGATTTTTTCAAGTTTTTTTCTTTACACATATAGTTAAAAACAAAGACACACCTGGGGCAGGACCAGTTTTGATCCCACGGCTTTTATTTGAACAATCTTTGTAGACACTTACTAGGACAATGTTTCATGCTTAATATCAGAACTCTTGCTATTCAGGTTTTTTCGAAGAAAATTTTTTAGTATTTAATTGCTATACACATATAAGGAAAATGAATGACCCCCCCCGGGGCGGGGGCAATTTTGACCCCAGGGCTTTTATTTGAACAAACTTGGAAGACACTCGCTAGAAGATGTTTCATGCTTAGTATCTAAACTCTAGCTATTTGATTTTTTTCATCAAAAAAGAATCTTTTTTAAGTTTTTGTTATATGCATATAAGGAAAATGAATGACCCCGAGGGCGGGGCCAATTTTGACCCCTTGCTCTTATTTGAACGAACTTGGTAGACATCCATTAGAACATATTTCATGCTAAATATCTTAGCTCTAGCTCTTAACATTCTTTAAAAGAAATTTTTTTAAAGTTTTTTACTATGTGCATATAGGGAAAATCAATGACCCCCTGGGGCGGGGGCCAATTTTGACCACAGGGCTTTTATTTGAACAAACTTGGTAGACAACCATTAGAAGATGTTTCATGCTAAATATCTTAGCTCTAGCTCTTTGGGTTCTTTAAAAGAAGATTTTTTAAGTTTTCACTATATACATATAGGGAAAATCAATGACCCCCGGGGCCGATTTTAATTCTAGGAACAAAATTAGAACAAGTTTGGTTTTGGACCTATAGGTGATACCATAGACCAAATATCAAAGCTCTAGGCCATTTACTTTCAGACCAGAAGATTTTTCAAGTTTTCACTATATGTATGTAATGAAGAATCAATGACCCCCGGCCATTATTTGAACAATCTTGATAGAGGTCTACTACACAATGTTTCATGCCAAATATCTAATCTGTAGCCTTTGCCAAATCAGAGAAGAAGATTTTTTTAGATTTTACTATATACATATAAGGAAAAACCTATGACCCCCAGGGCGGGGCCAATTTTGACACTAGGGACAAAATTTGAACAACTTTGGTAGAGGACCCATAATGATACCATATACCAAAAATCAAAGCTCTGGCCCATGTACTTTCAGACCAGAAGATTTTTTAATTTTGTGTTTTTTTAAATCCTTTTCTGGCCCTATGACCTACATATGCAACAGACCGGAACCATTTGAACAACTTTGAAAGGGGCCCACACAAGGATCATTTCTGTAAAGTTTGGTCGATGTGCAGTCATTGGTTTCAGAGGAGATGTTGTTTATGTTAAAAGTTGACGACGCACGACGACGGACACAGGGCCATCACAATAGCTCACCCTGAGCATTGCTCAGGTGAGCTTAAATGTAAATTAAATTACTTATAATATTTCTTTAAAAAAAAGTTCAAAGGGATATTAACCTGGAAATATTGCTTTAAGAGTAAATTATGAACCTAGTCACATAAGATGTAATTGATGATAAGGAATATGTATTTGAAGTAAGAGGTAGATGCCTTTGAAACTAAAAAAGTCATAGTAAAAATAATATTTTTCAAGTTAAAAAAAATATCTGTGTGGAAAAGTGTGTATGGTACGTTTTAACATAAATAAGTATTGCTTCTTATGTAAGTAGAAAATGCTTCGTCTTTTTTTGTCAATGTTCCTCTTGGAATTGAATATGGCGGTATTTTTGCTACTATTACCCAGGATGCATCAAATCTTGGAAAATCCCGAAACACATGATAACTTGCACTAGAACAACCCCAATAATACTGAATTTAACTGTATGACGTCTAAGTTACTTCTCCATCTATATTAAGCTCCATGACATGTCCAATCATTCAGTAAATCAATAAGTTGATTGATCATTAGAAATCAAAGAATGAATCATGGAGTCAATGAAATCGAGGAAATCAACACTCTGAAATTAAACAAATTACATCAACATAAAAATAGAGTTAAATCAATTTCCTTTGTCTGAAATGCATAATTATCATTTAAATAAAAACCTCCAAATTTATGGTCAATTACAATAAACCCATTCACACTTTCTATATGATCTACGTAAATAACCGAGGTATATCAAGTGAAAAAATACAAGTTGCTTCCCTTATCTTCGAGTAAAATTGATATCTCTTATGCTTAAACAAAACCGCTAGTTTGTTCTGATTAAATGTCCGCTTTTAAAATGAATTACACCAATAGCAAAACGTTGGATCTTAGCTTCATCACAGTATATTCTTCAACACATCTTTTGACTCCACAAAGTATTCAAATGAACAGTTAACCCTACCACATGTCAGACCATTTTACATACAATTTATATAGTGAGAAAACAACCGGTTATCTTTATTCCTAAAACTACTGATAAGAAAAGCCTCTTGTCTGCTAGTTCTGAAAGTGTTTATCGGTGTATTAAATATTTACAACACATTGAACAGCTTACTTAACCTGTAGGTATATTAACTTATAATATAGCTATATGCTTTCTATTGGCCACCACAATCATAAGTTCATTTAATGAAGTTATTATAAAATACATCATAATCATAAATAAATTCTAAACTCACCAGTTTGTGGAATTGAATGTACCAATAAAAGCATTATCTTCTTCAAACACGCATACTGTCAAACTCTCTCTCTCTCTGCTGTAACTTCTGCAAAATATAATAAACACAATGTGCAAAGTGATATGAATAAATTGTGAGATTAAGTAAACAGAGAGCTAGATTAACGGATTTTTCTGAAAACAATTCTCAAAGGTTCCAAATCACGAAAACTGATGACATTTCGAATCAGACCACACTCGTTACTTAATTAAAAAAATCATCTATGACATACACTCTATAAAACACTAATTTAAACCAAATGCAACTCAAAATAATACTGACCAACTATCAATAATCCATATTTCCAAAAAATTAAGAACACTTTGAACTTTTTACAAACAAAGCCGCTTAAACATAGACAAAACTAGTGATATTGCGGAAAACCAAGGGAAACAACTCAAACAACAAAAAAAAAAATATCAAGACACCTGAATTATCAACACTGTTACGCATCATGAAATCCAAATAAGAATTCCAAAACAGAATAAAATTAAGTTCAAATAATATTGGTAAGTTTTCTGTACCTACTTTTAGAAAATGATGAGATCAGCTTTCACGTCGAAAACTTTGTTTTGGTACGAACTACTTCCTTACGCAAAGTTAACGCGAATGAATACTAATGATATTTTTTACTGATTATATCCTGAAAACATGCAAATAATATACGATAGAAATAACACAATCAAAAATGAACTACTGACAATTCAAAATCTTATCACTTGTGTGTGACAAGAAAATCTGTGTAGAACTACTTTGCGTTGCTCGGTACCCATTCTTCTATTGCAATCCCGCAAATTGTGATAGAACTGTATTCACTGCTAACGCAGCGAATACAAAAATCCATTTCCCAATATGCAGGATTACAACACCCGTTCCTGCCACCCTTCCACATTCCAGGAATCCCCAGATATGCGTCAACATAAACTCAACATCAAGTATCCCTAGTAATTCATACAATTATGAAACATTATTCGATATAATGTCCAACAGCATGCAGTATATGGACAGTCGTTAGAATCTGCTGAGCAAAAAGTAGATAAAATATAAAAAATGAACAAAATATTGCTCCCATAAACCTAAATGTGCAGATGATCGCGGAAGAAAATGAATTCATGTCCACTAGAATAGCTCAAACCCAAAAACTCCTGTCCATATGTAAGTGGTATTTCTGATCATCTTTTAAAACAAAAACAAAAGAGAACGAAGAAGCTGTGAGGATGTTGAAGGTGTCTAACACAAATCTTTGGCCACAAATCGATGAACTCGGACACAAAAACACTAATTTAGAAAGTAAACACAAAGACATGTATAACAAAAACCGCGACATACAATGTCCTGAAAAATAACCTTATAGTGGTCGGTAAGAATAGAACCGTTGTGTATTTGACGAAGATTTAAATTCTTCTATAATTCCACTAGAAATTCCAGAAATAACCATTAGAAAATCTGTGAAAGACGGTATACAAAATAATATCGCTATTGACTTAGACTCTTTAAAGATCTCATAAGTAAAAGGATTGGTGATCCCGGAAAAGGCAGCAGAGTCAAATCGTCCGATACAAATAGTGGTAACATTTGACCGGGTACACACTTGTAACTTCTTATACTTTTAGCAATGCAATCCTTCATGCTGTCATTGAATGTCGAATCTTCTTTGTAACAGATATTGTCTTAATGCATGTTTTGTGTAAGCAATTATTTAAACTTATGTTGTCATAATTGTTTATCATATTTATTCGTGTATTCTTTTTACATGGAAAAGTGTTCCACTTTCGTCATTTCGCCTGAACTTCCGTCTTTTGAAATTGAGTACAAATATATGTTTATAAATAACATTTGCTTTTAATTAAGTAAGGCAAATTCATTTTATTTTTCATTCTAAAGGCATCATCACATGTTTTATCAAATATATTTGCTTTCTTGTCCTTAGAAACAAATACTAGTACTTTAAATTATATACGTAGAAAAAAAACTTATGAAGCTGTATAAGACAATAATTGTATCGCAACCATGTCTTCTACGAGGGTTGTTCAAAAAGTTCGTGGACTGCGGCTCTACTGTTTACATCTTTTAATTTGCGTACATGATTTGTACAAGAGACAAATATTGGAACATTTCCATAATTTACAATGAAAAGAAATCAATACAATATATTTTTAGCAAAGAATCTGTGAAAGTTACGAATAACAAGGGGTATGTGTTTTCCTGTCTGACTGTTCTCATTTTTAATTTTAAACAAAACTCGTTTTCATTAAAAACGTATAGTTAACCCATTGGCCGAAATACAAGCCTTATAACGCCCTTTTCATCCCATTTTTGTAGTCTCAAATGGTGAGAAAATGCCTTATTTAGGCCCCCAAATCTTGCTTTAAAAAGTTACCACTTTTTCGGCGCTGCCCTCTATCCAAAAGATACATCATGGGGTTGCCAGAAGGGGGATATGTCCCCTTGTGTTTGGGGGGGGGGTTGAAGGGGATGGCAGTCCCCTTTATAGCCAAGAAAATTTTGGACTTTTGAGAGGCTAAAAATGACCCCAGGTCAATAATAAGATATCGTGTTACCAACGCTGGAAAAACCTTTGACTCTATCTCAATCCATTAAGAAGTTGCAGCACTTGGTGCAAAAAATCAACGCCAAGAAGTGATATTTGGCAATTTTGAGATGTCCCCTCGTGGCCATGGTGACAGGACATTTAAGACTGAGCATGTTGTTACAAAGGCAATGGTCATGTAATGGGTTAAGATAATGATTATGTAAACATACGCATTAATAAATTTGCCTAATTAATAATGAATTTCACATATTGCTCTGGAAAGATCTTAATTCAAGAGTTGTATAATAAAAACAAGTGTTGATAAGGATTATATACAGATTAAGCTGGTGCTAGGTGCGTGAGAGATGTCGCTATTTCCATTATCACTCATGAACAGACTAAGTAAAACCGAATCTGCAATGGTCTTATACTCGTGTTTTAGGAGTTTTGTTTTGTTTTACTTACTCTCGGATGATCACTTTACAGAAGTATCAATTCAATGAAGACAACGTGATAAGACTGAGAAATTTCACATCATACAATGTAAAACAATGTATAATACAATGTATAATTTTTCAGAAAAATTTAATATTTTAAGACAGCCATTTGAATACCATGTAAAGTATCTTATTGTTGTTTACTGGGCTCGCTTTATTTGCATGTTATAATTATGTATACATTCATTGGTACTCTAGTCATGAAATGGAGATAAAGGTTTGATATATATGTGTAGAATGATCATTTCAACATGGCGTCATACTGTATGTAAATACAGGTCATTTTCAAAACCGAGAATCTTCACAAAATCAACCAAATGCAGCTGCGCCTCAAGTGTATTATGTAAATATAATGTTGTAGGCGTAATTGACAGCATACAGAAATGCTATATTTTGTTACTATATCTCATGAGCATTGAAATTTGATACAATGCTGTATTTAATATGACAACTGATAGAATTTGGACGCACACGAAATAAAATAATTATTCGCTGTTGTTTTTCCAGCTAATGTGAAAAAAAATGTTTCGTTGGAACAGTAAAAAGCCATTTTAACTGACGGTTTCTACCAAATTGTGTAAATATTAAATAATGAAAGGTTGTTTTGAATTGAAATCTATGAAGTATGTATCAAGCATTATTCATGTGTCAATCAAAACGTTAGGATTTCACTGGTTTGTATCTAGAAAAGGTTAATGGACCTTTTTTTTCATAGCATCGGCAGAAGCATGAAAATGTATTCAAAGGCCAAGCCCGAGAGCGACAAATTAATGGGGTACGCGCGCTTGATTGATAAGCTCTTCAATGCTCTTTTTCTCTTAAAATGAATATAAAATAAGACATTTTATCATGATAATAATATAAATCTTTTGAATGTCTGCACTATTCGTGTATGAGACAATATTCTGATGATTTGGAAATTCCGCGTTTTGTCATGCTTTTAACATGCTAGTGGGATTTCATTGGACAGTAATGATGTGATAATGACACTATCGGGATCGTCATTGCAGTGAAAGCTTTCTTACATCGCGCCCTTGTTACACATATTAAAAGATGCATCTATGGTGCGTGTCTCTGTAAATGCATTTTTGCTTCGTGGTAAAATGTTTACGTGCAGTTTTTATGAGTAACCTATTAAGAACCTATTAAGAACAGAACAGAAAGAAGACTTGTAACATCTTACTAAAATACATTTTACATAACGCACAATAACCAAATAACATTTACGACGTCTTTTTACATTATAATACATTATTTTGTTATATTCTATTGTTTGACTTAAAAATTCGATTACTTAAAAACAGGTTAACTTTACAAATTCCGTGTTTATCATCAATTTAGTAGGTTAAAAACTAATTATTTACCAAAAATATGGAATATTTTAAATGGTTATTTACAATACATTCTAATGATATCCTGGTTAAACTCAGTGATTCTTAAAGTTTACTAAAAATATTTTTCGGATGGATTAACCCTTCCAAATGGCATGCTAATTTCCTTGAAATATATACTTACTTTCTTGATAATAGACAACATTTAATTCTATATCTTATTTTTAAAGCGCGCGATACTTTATTCTTGACACTTTTTCTAGCCCAACTGGTCAATGAACCATTTTTATTTATTTCGCACATAAAGGGCTTTTTTATTGCAATACAATTGTGTTATCCATTTTCTTTCCTTACATTTTCTTTACATGTATGTATGGTCTCACAGAAGTTGCTGATATTAGATTAATTCTCCTACATATGGCATTTTAAAGTGATGTCATTTACCAATTCCCTGGATGGTTTGTTCATAAACAGATGTTTTTGTATAGTACTTACCAAAAACATTCCGGTATTCTTTCAGTATTGTGTTCAAAGCATAGATAACTGTAAATATTTTATTTTAATATTACCACATAATTTCATAGGAAAATATTACTTGATCAACTTGGTCGTCTGAAAATCAAAACTAAGAGTAATATGAAACATCAGGTGCACTGTTGCATACAGATATGTAAAATAGCCTCTAAAGCTTAGCATGTATTTCAAATGATTTGTGTCGGCACATTATTGTGAAAGAACATTGTAGAGTTAAAAGCCTAATGTCATATCACCATGAGCTATAATTTAAAAATGATTCAAAATAAAAGATTAGTAAATAAAATTTGCAATTTTGGTAATTCAAAGAAAATGAAATTATGTGAGCATTTCGTCTTTCAAGGTACGTATGGTAAGGTATGTGACTGATTTACTTCACGGCGTTCCCTTCAATTGCTGCGTGCGTCAAAGTAAACTGCTACTTCTGTAAAATATGTTTCCCATGCTTATTTTAAATTATTATATTATATCA